CGGGGGGGCGGCGGCGCCCCATGCGGCCGGGGCGGCCGGGAGGCGGCTGACACCATGTGCGCCCGCTGCCCTGGGCGAGGAGCGGGGAGCAGCCATGGCCCCCCCCGCGCAGCCGGGGGTGCCGGGCGGGCGCGGCTCTAAGGTGCCCCCGGCGCGGAAGCTGCTCTGCATGTGCAGCCTCTCGCTCTGCCTCACCTACCTGTGCTACAGCTTGATGGGGGGCGCGGGCCCGGCCGCCCTACGTTCCCCGGCCGCGCTCCCCGCCACGGCGGCCCCCGGCGCCCCGCGTTCCCCGGCCGCGCTCCTGGGCACGGCGGCCCCGCGCTCCCCTCCCGGCCCGCCCGGCAGCTCCGCTGCCCCCACCGCCTCCGCCGCTCCGCCGCGGGCCTCCAACGGCAGCCGGGACGCGGGCGCCTGGACGCGGACGCCGCTGGCCCCCGGGGAAGCGATCGCGGCGCAGAGCGGAGCCTTCGAGAGAGACCCGCAGGAGTCCAGCACCACGGACGAGGAGCTGAGCCGCGCCGGGAGCCGCGGCACCACGCCGGACTACGGCGAGAAGCGGCTGCCGCAGGCGCTCATCATCGGGGTGAAGAAGGGCGGGACGCGGGCGCTGCTGGAGGCCATCCGCGCTCACCCCGACGTGAGGGCTGTGGGCACCGAGCCCCACTTCTTCGACCGCAACTACGAGAAGGGGCTGCAGTGGTACAGGTGAGCGCGCGGAGCCGCGCCGGGAGGGGCTGAATGGGCTCAGAGGTCCCGGCGGGGCGGGAGGTGCCGGGGGGGCCTCCTGCAGCCGCGGTGGTTTAACGCGGTGCACCGGTGGCGTGCGGAACCTTCCCCGGCTGCTGCTGGGCGCTGAGCAAAGCGCGGCAGTTCAGCTGCACGGCGCCCGAATGGGTCAGAAATTAACAACTGCGGAAAGAAGGAAGGGAGCGCGTTGTTCCAGGTGATGCTGTGGGTTTTCGAGTGGAGAAGGATGCTTCTGTCACACCGGCTGCAGAGGATTCACCCCACAATTAAGATTTACTCTTTATTCAACAAGTTCCGCATCCAAAAGTTTTTGAAGATTTCTTCTTTTCGTTGCAGGATTTAATTAAAAATCCCAAAATGTGTTTGACATCGCGTAACACTTTAAGAGACTCTTATACTAAGAGTTCTGACTACCAGAAAATCGTGAACCGCAGTGAGGGAAGGCTGAGTGCCTCGGCAGGTGTAGCAGAGCAACGAGTTGTGCTGGCTCAGGGGTTGGCAGGTGGTGTTTTTTCCCCTTGGTTTCTGCCTTCCTTCCTTTTTCTCTCTTTGATCTCAAACCAAAAGGCATGCAGTGTGTTAAGTGTAGCTTGCAAGTTACTGTGGCTCTTTAGCTCACAGTTATGAGAAACCCGTCCTTGTTTCATTCCAAGAAGCAGTGGCTAAACATATGGGTTCTGCATTTTTGCTACACGTGTGCTCAGAAAATTAAGGAAAAACAGGGGCAGCAAGTTGGTTACTGCATGCCTCAGCCAGGCACCCTTTATTGAAAGAGCACGCACTGTTTTAATGAAATCAGTATGTAAATCTGAGGAAGTCTAGCCAACTTTGTGTGGATATTGTAAAAGCAAAGTCTTCGTAACACCCATTCGGCGTGGCATCCGATTGGCCTTGTCAAAATGCTGAGGGATTTTCTTGAGGGACTCCAGTAAAGTGGAGATCAGTGGTTTGAAAGTACATTTGTCTCTTTTTGGAACGCTGTACCAACTCAGAGAAGGAATAAAGGAGTGGATGCTATTATTTTATTTATACACTTAAGCAAAATAATTTCAGATACGGTTCTCTTTTTTAAGATTTTTTTTCCCCGTAGGAAAGCTTTTCCATGACAAATAAGTTCAGCAATTTTGCTGGAAGAGGCTGGGGAACAGCATAGAAATAAACGGGTTTGGTTTTATTCAAAAAGGGTAAAGAAGATCAAGCACAGGATATGACAAGCTGCTTTTTCATCTCGAAAATCACGCTGCACAAAAAAGGGCTGGAGAGGGGATGGAGCCGCTCTCCTGGAGCAAACAGCACACGCGGGTTTTCATTTGCAGAAAGTGCTGTGAAATTTTTCATCCCTGCGGTAGCTCCGTGGCCAGCCCAGCTGGTTCCTGGTGCTGGTGATATGCTGTGCTGGCAGGAGGCGTGAGATGAGAAGATTGGGTCAGAGCTGATTTGTGAGGTCCTGGGCAGAGTAGGATGGAGGATGGATTCTGTGGTCATGGGGCAAATAAATTACTTCACTATTTAATTATCACTGTGGCCCTGAGCATTTGCCCCGATGGTTTAACCTAAACCATCTTCCACCTGCCCACCCCAAGCACCGTTCTTCTCCTTCCCCTGAGAAGCTTTGCAGCCGTGTAGGAGCGGGGCAGCGGGTCGCACAGCGTGCAGTGGGTACAGCACCATGTGCACCTATAGGGATCACATCCTGCCCAGGGCTGAGATGAACTGAGATGAACTGACTGCTCCCTGCACGAGTAACTGAGTTTTCCTATCAGCAGATATTTCTGTTTTCTTTTTATTAAAGGAAAAAAAAAAAAAAAAAAAGCAACCACTGAAGTGTTTATAGCAGCATCTCCTTACAGTGACTTTTATCACTTGTTTACATCTTGAACATAACACTTCCTTTTACAAATGATAAGCTGTTAGTTTTTAATGTGGTCAAGTTTATTTTTTTTTCTTCTGCAATGAAATAAAGAAAAAGCAGTCTGAGTTCCTTGCTTTGTCACTGCTGCTGAGCACATCTCCCATCGCCCCATGGAGCCGTGGGGAGGAGCAGCTCCTCCACGTGCACTGGTGTGAGCTGGGTGTCAGGCAGCTCTTGTCTGTGCTGCCAGGGTTGCTCTGTGCCTGTGATGTGCTCTGGGCTGCCTGAAGGATGGGCTCGGTGATGGAGCTCTCCTTAAGCTGCACCCAACGCACCATGATGTGCATTGGCTTTTGTTGATAATTTCCTAGGGATTTTCAGTGTTGAATGTAACTCCACTACTATAAAACACTGTGTTAGAGGGGTAACTGGAAGTGAATTTTAACCTTTTGTTTTGTTAGCAGTGTGGCATTACTTATATCTGGTGCATGTGTTACTTGCCCACCTTCAGTTCTGGAGCCATGATACCCAGCAGCAGGCGTTACCTTGGATAGTGGACCCTTAACCAGTGCTCTGTCTCACCATGGAACAGGTTGTTCTGGCAAGGAACAGGTGTTTGCCTTTCCTTTGGAAGCCACTGGTGACTCCTTCTCATTTTACATTTTTTCCTCAATCACGGGATGTGCTGTTGTTCTTCATTGGAATCATTGCTGACTTGCCGTCAGGCAGGCACAGTGTGGCTGCTGCCCTGCAGCGGTCGGAGCAGCTTCACACCAGGGCTGGAGGGATCTGGGGGCAGAGCTGGAGCTCAGCACCTGCGTAAAGAGGAAGAACCTGATCAGAGGACACTCAGCTGGGTTGGTCTGCTCATGAGAGTGACCAAAGCTGTAGGTTTGAGCACTTCCAGCATCTCAGCCTCTCTGTGGGCTGAGCGGGACAGTCCAGTGCTATGAGAAGCTGCCTGCAGGCTCGGGAAGGGGAAGTGGTTCCATTCTGCCCATTTGTGTTTTACAGGCTGTCTTGACATCTGGTGTTTTAGCAGAAAATTGAGGACGTGTAACCGTATTTTGAAAGCAAATGTGTAGTTTTAACAAAAATGCGATCTCCGTAGTGCAAGGAGAGCACTGAATGGAGATTTGAAGTTCAGAGGTTTGAAGATTATTCTAAAACCTCACTCTTGAAGCTCAGATCTGTGTACATGTGCCAGTTGTTGGCCAAGCCTTCATCTGTGGCAATGTCTCTGCAGTCAGACCGTGCTGCTGGTGCTCTGCCCCAGGCCCCCGGGTGCTGAGCAGTTACATGGGCGTAGTGCTGTGTGCGCCGTGGTCCCGCTGCAGCCGCTGCAGGGAGCACTCACCATGACAGGCAATGAAATGGTTTGCATGTCTAATGCTATTTTCACGGCCTGTCTGGTTTGTATTTTCTTTCTTTTTTTTTTTTCTTCCTTTTCTTTTTTTTTCTTTTTTTGAGTGTTTTCCATAATGGTCAGACCTGCATGTTGCTCTGTGAGCCACTGCCTTGGTACAAATAATGCGTACCACGACCAGGAGCACAGCCTATTCAGAAAACCAAACCACTTCCGTCAGCTCTGCACTGATGGGCACTATAGGAACACCTACAGTGGAAGGACAGATGTTTTTTTTTCCTAACAACAGGCACCGCTGCCTGGTAACTGCTCTATTTCTCTGTAAAATGCCTTCCTAGTGGGCTGTGCCCTCTGCACTTCTGGTAACTTGGGGAAAGGGTATTGATTTTTTTCCTGGACCTGCTGTGAGTTGGCTTTTGCTGAAATGTAGTGACTCAGCTGCCCTCCCACCTCTCTGGATCCAATATATTGGGATTTATCTGGTTTGAAGGCTGCAGAAGCATTTCCATGTAACTCAGCTCTTCTGACACCTTGTTCTCATCACCTTTCCCAAACCTTTAGGTATGGATCAGGTCCTACCATTGCATTACTTTTCCTAGCCCAAGTCTTCCATGCAATGCAAGCACTCCCATGCACCACTGACCTTCTGCCAGCGCCTGCATCCAGCTGCAGCAAGGCCAGCATGGGTGCTGCGGATGGCTTGTAGGCTGGTGGCTGTGAGCACAGGACCAGGCTGTCCTGAGTCTGTCCCTGCGTTTGCCCTTCTGGAGGTTGAGAAGAGGCCACTGAAGCATCAGGTGTGGAATTTCTTTCATGCCCAGAGCTGCTGTGTGCCAGACCCACAGCCCTACCCTTTCCCTGCGTGCAGAGCCAGGGGAACCTCCATCAGCCTTCCTGGCCAGCAGTTTTCTCCAAGCCTTTCCACTCCGTTTCAGATCAAGGATTGGGATGCAGGAACGAATCAGGCCTCTTTGCAGTGTTTTATCACCTGATGATGGTTAACCACAGGCTACTTGACTGTAGCCATGGGAATGGCAGCAGCTTTCAGCACCCCGTGCCTCTTCACGCTGTGCTCGCTCGTTCTTGCAAAGAGTGTGAGATGAGTGTGAGGACAACACGCGGGCAGGGGATTGCTGCAGGAGCCCAGCCTGCAGAGCCCTGTGTGGCCACAGCTTCCTGCTGCTGGGCGAGGCAGCAGTGGGGCTCGGTGGCTTTTGGAGCATCACTTAGAGCACACAGGGAGCCTGCAGTAATCTCACTATTACACTATGTCTTCAAGCACATACTTTCTGTAGGATTTTGCTCGATAATCCAGTTAAGTAAATGCTACAGTGCTTTGCCTCTAATGGTTTAAGTGTTATTTGTAGTGTCAAAGTTTGTGAGCTTCGCTCTATGTGTGAATGCTGTATCACTCAAGCATGTAGACGCTACAGAAAATCCAAAAATAGGCCTTGGGAAAAAACAGCCGCCTTGGAAAAGAGAAAGGGGAAGAGTCAGTTGGTTGTATTCATGGGTTTAAATGATGAGTCTGACCCCGGCTCGTTTTTTTGATTTACTGAGGCTTGTTCTGCTCTGTTAGAAGCACCGACTGGCGGCGAAGGAACAACAGGTTCTCAGGGAAAGTTGTGGGCAAAGCCTTTTGATTTTCAAAGTAAAAATTCCAGTATAAATTGGTGACACCTTGTATTGAGAGAGGTTTGAGTCCTTTGCTTTTCATGGATTTCTCTTACCTCTTGTTGT